CATTTTTACTTTATTTTTACTTTACCAATTTAATATCAACCACACAAATCCACTTTTCTTAATAATCGTGTCACCTTCTCTTGTCACAATCTTAGTGGGACGAAGGTAGTACTAAACTAAAGCTAATTTCCAAAAAGTGATCACATTTACATTTGAACAAAAATCTGACTAAGATGATTGTTCATATCACTGCACCACTTCCATTTCACTATCGAATGTCATTGTCGTCATCATTTGTGCCACTGTCGCCGCCTGTGTCATCACAGTTGCCACCGCCAATCACCATCACCGGCCACAGTGACATCTCCGATGTCGGTGTCACTGATACCGGCATGCCGTCACCGGTGTCATTGTGAGTGCCATATTGACACACCACGCCACCGCCGGCCACAATGACGTGTCACATTCGGTCATTGTGACACGCTGCCATCGGCTCCAGTGACACGCCGCCTCCAGCCACTCTTTTCAGCAAAAGATTGACCTCCACAGTTGGCCCGCCAAATCCGCCACTTGCCACCCTGTCGGCACCGCCAGCACCCTAACCCCACCCCTTCTGCCCCAGCGCTAAAATAATTCTTGCTTACACAGTACATTTCACTTCCTAAACTAGTGAATCATGACATCAATCAGCGAATCCCTATGAAATCGAGAGTACTAGGCTTGTCAGTTTCTTCTTCAATCTTTAGTGCTTCTGGTCTTGAGGTCAGGCCCAGGCAGAGGACAAGAGCAGGCGCCTTCAAGACTTCTGTCCTCAATTGAGCAAAAAAATTGTTGAACAAAAAACTTGTATGTGAAAACAATTCAACATAAATGGAACTTATACTACGGCAATCTAAACTATGTTACACAAAAGACAATTATGTGATGAACGAAGCTATGCACAAAATTCACTTTGGGCTTTGAGCTCTGAGCTCATTGCACAATTTACCTTGAAAATGAGAATTAAGCGACGATCTTGTGGCACGTGTGATCGATCTCATTGCACAAATTAATGGACGAGGTACTTTTCACAAAATGAAATATACTATATATACTAGTATCTTAGTTCATGAACATGAACTAAATAGAAAAGAGTCAAATAGAACTTTCTACTATTTCTAATATAAAAAATATCATTAAATATGTTTCCTCTAAAAAAATAGTTTCATGTAGTCATTTAACCGGTTTTTGACTTGTAATAGCATTTTTATATAATAAAAATTCTAAATAATTGTTAAAATTTGAATGAATATAAAAAAAATCCATGAACAACTTAAGATGTTGCACTCTATATTTTCGCGTTTTTTGCAATTATTTTATATTCTTCGTCTTTTTTAAAGTTTTAAGGTTTTAATTTAATTCTTTTTTACCTATTCACATTTTTCATTTTCTTGATTTTTATTTTTTATTTAATGTTCTAAAATTACGGATCTTTTTCTTTCATTTTTACGATTTTATATATTATTATTTCATTTTTTCAAGTTCATGTGAAATTTTATAAACTTTATTAATTTTCTTAATTTATTTTTTTAAAAAAAGTTACATGTTATGGCAGATCAAATTGGATGGAGTGAGTGTGTTTTCAAACTAATTGTACTGATACGATTCTTTTTGTAGAGCGAGCGCCTGTGTGATGAATTTGAAATGCCAGAAGAACCTATTTGACTCATTTCCCTAATTTTAAGTAAACTAAACTATTTTTTTATCGTCAAAATGGATAGCTTAAATTGATACCACAACATTCAGATAGGGGGTAAAACGAAACAAGGACCACAGGCAACCGTCATGAACCAGACTTAGAGTCAATCACCTCCAAGAAAGTAATATATTTCGATGATCCTATAATGGGCATAAATGAGCCAACAACAGTTAAAGCGGACCTCCCATCACACAATCCTAATGCAAGAGTCTTACAACAGTAAAAGTAACCAACAGAAAAATAAACAGTCTGATCATGAAAAAGATAACAAGCAAACGGTAAAATTAAAATACTGCTTCCAAACCCTAAACTCTCATGCACTCCATGGCAGCGGTTCATGAATGGTACGGTCCAACAGTACTATAGCTTCTTCCGCTCCTCGCCTCCGATTCAGATCTGTTCCAGCCCCTAGCCCCACGCTTCGTCCATGACCTTCTGATCTCAACCATGAACGACATCCTCGAAACTCTCCACCTGCTGCTAGGGGTACACAACCTTTGGTCACCATATAGGCGTTGCAGTCTGCCAAAGAAGAGAGCCCCATGAAAGGCGGACGAAAGCCGCACTTCGACGAAGACGAAAGCGGAGATAAACAACCCCTAAACCTAGGGGAGACGGCCGCCTAGAGAGAGAAGCTCTCAAAAGGTTTTTAAGTAAACTAAACTATTTAAGTTTAATTTATCTTTAAACGCTACAACAGGTTTAAAATTTCAGAAATGACTTCAAAATTAAATATAAAGGGGACTTCAAAATTAAATATAAAGGGGACATTAGTATGTCTAGTACAAGTAAAAAACTGCATAAAATATAATGTTAAGGGGGGAGAAGATTAGTGCATAAAGTCTTGACTAAAGTGGTTGGATTAGCTGATTATAAAAAAATAAAATATTTTATTCATGAAATAAGAAAAAAAATATGAAAAATAGCTAAAATGGGCACGGTAAAAAGATGGACTAATAAAACTGATAAGCTGAAAAATAGGATCACCAATATATATACGGAGTAATGTTTATAGTATATAATATATGGAGTAATGTTTATAGTATATAATATATAAGTATATATATTGCTATATATGGAGTAATGTTTATAGTATATAATATATAAGTATATTACTATAACACATTTATACAGCTATTATTAATTCCAATAATGATTTACTTCAACTGAAAAAAATCAACGAATAACCACAATTCAACAATTCATCAATTCAATAATTCAAAAATTCAATCAATTCATTATTCATCAATTCAATAATTCAAATATTCACAAGAATTTAACAAACAATTCATCGATTCAATAATTCAAAAAGTCAACAAACAATTCATCAATTCAATAATTCTAAAATTCACAAGAATTAGCAACTAAATGAATAAAAAATTGAAAATCAGTGGACTAACCGGTCAGGGAGGCGGGAGCGTGAGGCGGACAGGCAGTGGCCGGTGAGGGACTGAGGGAGGCGGCCGACAGGCGGCAGGTCATGGTGGACAGTGGACTGGTGTCTGGTGGCTGGACGGCTGGACTGCGGAGGCACGGAGCAGTGGAGGTGTGGCGTTGTGGGTCTGTGCGGTGTGCGGAGGCGCGAAGCTGCTGGGTGTGGGCGCTGCCGCACTGGTTGTGGGCCTTGTGGCGGTGTGCGGCACTACGGTGTGCGGACTGCGAAGCCGGGAATCGGGGATGAATGTCGACTAGGAGTTGGGAGTTAACGGGGATGTTTTTGGCTAAAGGGCGCAAAGGCTAATGGGCGGGCTAAAGGGTTAAGCCTAATACTGATTTTTTTTTGGGCCCTTCAAAAAACCGGGCCCTGTGCGGTTGCACTGGGCTAACATGCCTTGGACCGGCCCTGCCTCCAACGGCTATAGAGCCATTTGGGAATGTTCCCAACGGCTAGGAGGACTAGAGGAGCCTCTTTAGTTAAAAATAAATAAATATTTTGACAGTTGTGGCCCAACCAGGCTGGTTCGCTTTTTAGGTACCCGGAGCCCGCCCCGAGAATAGACGGTTTGGGTCTATGGCACACAGCTCGTACACGGCCGGGCAGGTCGGACCGGTTCAAATTCCGGGCAGTTCGGGCCAATTTCGAGCCGGTTTACACGGTCCGAGTCCATCACTAGGAGGAGGTGGTATTTTACATGGTATCAGCAATTGGGGTAACCTTAGATTATATTTTCCCCCAACATAGCCATGATTATTGTCTTTTAACGTCAAAGCAGAAGTTAAAACAACAAATATAGGGGTGCACTCGGGCCGGGTGGCCCGACCCGGAACCGGCCCAGGACCGACACTGTTCCGGCCCGGCCCGAACCGGTGGTCCGATCAGTGACCGGTCCGGGTAGGCCCGACCCAAGGGATTTTAGGTCCGGGCTCGGGTCACCCAAAACAAGGCCCGGCCCGGCCTCGGATCAGTTCGAGCCAAATTGATTTTTTTTTTGTTTTTTTCATTTGTTTGGGCTCCACCCGAGTTGGGCTTGATGTTTAGTAGGGGTTTGGGGGTTTGGGGCATGAGGGAGGGTCAGGGATAGGTAGGTAAGCAAAAAAGACCAAGCCTAAGGCCTGGCCCAGACCCGGTGGCTACCCGGGCCGGTCCCGGGTCCACCTAGTCAGACCCGCAAGCCCAACCCGGACCCGGGCCGGGCCTAGGCCCGACCGGAATCCACCCCTAAACAAATATGTACGATATTTCCTTTAATTAAAACATTAGAGTAATATGTTTATTTAAAAAAAATTGTCCTTACTCTTTGTTTCACCAATGGGGTCGCCATATTTGAAAGACACCTGGGTAATTACGTTTTAGCCACTCCAATAGCAGACACAATTTTCAACCAGTGCTCTTCTACGTTAACCTGACCACAAAAGTGGGATCCAGGGGTGGACCGGTTCCGGTTCGGGCCCGGTTCGGGCCTGGGCCCGGCCGGGCCTCGGTTCAAGAAGGGGAGGCCCGGAACCGGCCCGGGTAACCCCCGGGTCCGGGCCGGGCCTTGAATCTATTTTTTTTTTTGGGCTTTTCCTAGTTAACCCCCAACCCTCCCCCTCACCCCCAAACCAACCCTAACCACCTCAAATGGCCCAAAATACCCAGCCCAACCCAAAAACTTAAAAAAAAATCAAAAAAAAAATTGGCAAGGCCCGGGCCCGAACCGGCCGGGCCGGTTCACTTTTTGGAGGGCCCGAGCCCGAACCGCCATCCCACCGGGCCGGTTGGCCCGAACCGGGACCGGAACCGGTTCACCGGTCCGGTTCTGGGCCGGTTGGCCCGGCCCGAGTCCACCCCTAGTGGGATCTGGCCGATCTACTAAGATTCAAACCAACAATTTCAAAATCAGGCCAGTCAAGTGTTGGCCTTACCCCCAGTTCAAAATAGGTAGATTCAAACCAACAAGTTCAAAATCAGGCCAAACCCCCCAAATAGTCCAACCACCTATGGAACTGTTGGCCTTAAAACCCCTTCGAATCCACCACTCCAATGACCCCGATTTTCTAAACGAGTAAAGAATACACCAATGATACAATAGAGTATAGGACAACAAAAACTTAGATGGCAAGATAGCCAATTTCTTACTGGCCCTCTAAATGGCTTTCACTTTCTTGGCCACATCGGCTGCCTTGTGATCGGAGGTCAACATGAGGAACGCTTTCTTGGTACCGTCAGGCGTAATAGAGGTGTTAACCTTCTTGATCTGAACTTTGAATATCTTCATGGCCGCATCCTTAATGATCTTCTTGTCAGCACGCTTGTCAACAGCAAACACCAAGGTGTTGTTCTGCAGAATGTTTTTTATTCCAGCTTCTGTGACAATGGGGTATTTCAGAATCTGGGAATAATCAAGCGTTGCCCTTTGAGATCGAGTACTCTTAGCATTATTCCCACTCCCTACTTGAGAAGTCTTAGCATACACCACAGCCTTGAAATCCCTGACCTACCATTATCAATTTGTGAACAACTCTAAAGATATTCTTACAGAAAGTTGTCATCGAGATCAATGACATAGAAAGTCATGTCATGTTGTCACATTTTTCCTTGAAAGGCAATGTAGCGGGAGTGCAGCGCAAAAGAAGGTTTGCATTGCCCGGTCTACAGGAAATTGTACATATGTGAAAGAATAAGGGAGATTCAATGGATGATGTTACTGGAGTGAAAGAGAGACAATCTTATAGAAAACACAGTAATATCAAGCAATTGAGAAAATGCCCTTTTTCTAATACCTATGAAGAATAGTTTTCACTTTTAGTCCCACGAATATTAGGTGATTCTCCTTTTGGTCCCTAGTTTTCATAATTTTCACTTTGAAGTGCACGGTTATACTCTTTATCATTTTTTGTCATTTCGCCATCTTATCCGGCCAATTTCAAAATAACTTTCAGTTGGTGTTGCTTGGTAAATAAATAGAAATGACTATAAGCGATGAGAAATCTAAAGTCATGCACCAAAAGTGAGAAAGACGATAGTTGGAGATAAACAAGTTTGGGAATAAGCTAATAGTCATCGGGCCAGAAAATTCGCTAAGATTGTCGAGATACCTATTGATCTGGAGAGAGCAAAAGAAATGTGAAGATCCATGGTCTCCACTTATATTGCACTTCAGTGTTGTTGCCCAAATATTTAAAATTTAAGATGCTCTAATGCATTCCCTATTAGAGTGTGTTTGGGCCAAAAACCACTTATAATGTTTAAGCTTCTGCTAACACCTATATTATCTACTGACATTAGGGTTAGACTCAAAATCTCCTAATCAAGGGTATGAATCCTAGCTTCTGCCACGTCATGTATGAAACAAACAAAAAGAAGTGGGGCATTCTTTCTTTGAGAATCAAGCAATTAAGAAAACTTTCAACCAAGTCAAATACAGTCTGATACTCTGATATGGGTTTAGTTTGAGAATAATCAGAATTTAGCACATCAGAGAATAATACAGTCAAATACACAAATAGGTCTGCTCGACAACTACCTTGTGTAATACCATCTTGAACAATTACTAGAACTAAATTAGCTTCCTCAGTAAAAGAAGAGCAGTGTGTATTCATAACCATGAATGATTTTATAAATGTCAACAAACTAGCATCATAAACTGTTCACAACTTGAAAACACACAATTAAGGATTAAAATTACTCTACGTGAGAATGCGAGATGCAACTTCTTTTACTCATGAAACGAAATTGGACGAAGAGGAGCAGCACTTTTTAGGGGAGATCAATGATACCAACTCAGCCATTGAATTATGCATCCAAAGCTATGCAGTTCAAGCATATAATGCTGTTAAGATTAGGTTGTTAATTAGAAAAAGCTCCATGTCTATTTCAATTCCATCCTGCAATTCAAGTATAGAAAATACTCCGTACTATACAACTTAATCAATCTTCAAACCCATATAAAAAAAATTCAACCTTAGCCACTCTTCAGTAAAGACTTCTTTGGTAGAAAAAGATTCTCTTCTATAGAAATCACAATTTCTTCCCAATGCGTCATAATGAATGTGGAATCAATGCTATAGTAGTGCTCCACTACCCACTGAGTTATAATTTAGGATAAGAAATGTGTGTTTCCACTTAAAAGATCATTCTTAACGCTGGGCAATACTACTAGAGGTCTTTTGAGGTGGTCATCTTGCGCGCATTTACAACAGTTTCTCAGACCGGGAGTAAATGCAAACTACAGTTTCAGACTAGTTTCAAGATATAGGAAAGAAAGAAAATGGAATATAAGAAAGTAATAATAACTCACGGGCTTAGCGTATGGAATGTAACTAGTTAAAGGACGGAACTTTGTAAAAGGTGATGCAGGATCAAACGCGTCGCCAGAGAATGATGACTTCAAAGAAAGTAGATTCCTGGGAAATCGGGAAGATGGCGGCAAGGTGCAGTCTTTCCGGTTTATCGGAGAAGAAGCAAATGTCTGAAGGGTCATCAAAGACACCATTATCTCTTCAGAAGGTGGGTGAACGGGAGGGAGATAAGGCGGTGAAGAATATGACGTAGTATCAAATTCATTGTTGTGTTGATATATCTGTTTTCCTATATACGGCCCAAATTCTCTGTAGGCCACAAGTCCATTGTTATCACATGTCCAGTATCCGGTCGATTTTGAGGATGTGTTTGCAACCATTTTAGAAGTATTTTCAGCTTTTGCCTTAAAAAATAAATTGAGTTTTTTCAAGTGCTACTTTATGATTAAATTAAATACTTCAAATCTAAAAAAGTCAAACTACTTTTCAATTTTTTCTATTACACAAAAAACATCTTTTTACAAAATAATATTAACTTTTACGTTTTCAGAAACATTTTTTTCTCGCACATTACCAACTTTTATTATTAAGCATTTTCTCTAAAATCATTTTAAAACAACGAAATTGCAAGCATTCCGCGAGAGTCCTTCTAGATAGGTTATCAGAATATGGATCAACTATCAAGTATCAACCTTGTGTAGAAAAATGGTACTTGCAACTTTTCTACATGTAGTGTACTACTTTTACGAAATTGTCATAAATAAAAGTAAAAATGTTTGAGAACTTTGAAATACGAATACTATATTTTTATTTATTTAATAAGAGTAAATATTTTCAAACTTGCATAATAGTGTCAACTTTGGAAGTATACTACTACGTACTACTTATGATAGTATACTTATGGCTTTACGCGTGACAATAAATTCTCAAAATGACATCAATGTATTTCTATATAAGGAAAAATACACAACACTTCTATTTTTGAGACTCTCAAACTTTTTTTTCTCATATTTTGAAAAAATTCCCTATATTTTTACATTTAACGGGATACTTTTAAGAAAGCAAATTGTAACTAATAATTACATTACAATTGCTCACTAATAAAGGGTTTCAATTTAATCTATTTTATTTGATCTTTTATTTTCGAGACTTTTTCAACATTACTAAAACAATACACATGATGAAAATATAATCACTCTTTATGAACAATAATGTAATCACTCGGGGTGTGGGGGTCTTGGGTTGGGGATTCAATCTTTTGGAACAATGTAATCACTCTTTATAAAAATCTAAAAGATCATAAAAAAGTTATATATTTGAAATTATTTCTTTATTTTAAGCCTTTTTGGCTGTTTTTCTTTTCAAGTTTTTATAACTAATTTGGTCATGGCTGATGGGCACAAAAATAAAAAGGGCTTTTACATGAATATTACCAATTTAGAACCAATTTCCAGAAATGTGACCACTTTTACAAAATGACAAAAATGTGACCAAAGAGGTCATACATATGGAAAAACATAGTTATGCCAGATTTTTTTGTCACTATTATTTTTTTATGTCACTGATTTTATGTCACTTTTAAATGTCACTGCCGATTTTCATGTCACTTTAATATGTCACTTCCGTCGTCAAATGTGTCATTGTACTGCCGTCAAATGTGTCACTTTGCCGCCATCAAACATGTCACTGTGTCGTTCCCCGTTCTCCATCTTCTCTCTCTTTCTTAGCTTGTGCTTATCATCATCATCACGAACCGAACAAAAGAAAGAGCTTTGGAGAAATGACAAATTCAGATCTTTAATTCTGAATAATATCATTTCAAGGAGAAAATCTAAATTCAGCGAATATATAGAAATCCGTTCTTCAGCACAATCATTGCTATTAAAATTAATTCGAATTCGTGGTGCAACAATCCTTGTCTTAATTAATTCTTAAACTGTCATTCAACTAGGAAATGTAAAAAATCAAGTGAATTCTGAAACAAGATTAATTATCCATGAATAAACCTTCAGGAGAGCGAGATTTTTATGATCACAACAATTAATTACGAATTTCCTCGATCAATTTTGTGGGAATCATCATCTATCACGCTTAGAGCGGCAGAGGGATACAGAGAACGATGAGATCTTCATCCGATATCTAGGATGCCTTCCGATTTCATATCCGGTACATACGCATCCTTCAAAGTTTGAAGATTTTCGCAGCTCTAACGACAGGATTCTCCTTCGCGATGGCATCTAGGCTAGCGGCTTTGTAGTCGTAACTGCAATCGTGTCGGTCGGAGTACTGGTGCTCTCCGCAAAACAGTTCTCCGCACCGGCAGCGGAACACAGTCAACCCGACCTCCCTCTGGCACCCAGAGCAACGATTTACCTCCCACTTGGCAGGAGATGCATAGACGTCATCGCCTCTCTCATCGGTCTTCTTCGACGGGGCCTGTTTGTCCAGATCTGGAATCGACCTCGTAGGGGACAACCTCCGGAAGGTAGATCTGGGGGATAAATGGCCTGGTCACTTTTTTGTCTTATCCCAAATTATTCATATTTTTGTCCATTCAAAAAGGTAATACTTTTGCCATTATTTCAAATAAAAAAGACACTTACAATAGGAAGTGGGTTCAGTACTTCAATATGTGCTACCGACAATTTAAGTTCTTTATGCACAAACATACAAAGACGATTTTCGTACAGGAGGATAAATCGAGCTACTCGCGATTTACTTTTTACTTTTTTTAGATGGTTTAAATTTAAATTGTTAACAAACATGTCTGGATAAATACAGTTGTGCAACATATAAACATATAAAAATAAGTGGCACTTCTGTCAAACTTTCATATTCTAGTCTGGTTGATAACCCATTCTCCCTCGCGTGAACATAAATGTACGCATTATTGGAAAAGAACCAAACAACCAACCCACAAAACAAATACGAAATTTCACAAAAACGTGCCTGTAGAATATTTCCAACATTATTTCATAGTAAAAGAAACAAAACAAAAAATTGCACTAACAGCCAGACCTAGTGAAACAAACACAAACCATTTTCTAGTTAACAACAGACTCGCAAGAGAACTTGCCGCTCTTCAACTAGACCAAACACATCATTATTTAACTTTCAACCTTCTTGGTATCTTCCTGGGGGCGGAGGGCTGCTTCCCGAACTGCTGTTTGAGCGTGAGACAAAGGTTGAATTCCCCAAAACGCCCGTTGGTGATGAACCATAGCTACTGTTTAACACCTCTCCTAGCGGGCCTCCCATTGAAGAGTTCCCCCAAGAACCCGCTGGCATCCAATTCGATGTCTCCTTTTGAATCGGACCCGTAATGTCCCCGTGTGATAGGCTCAGAGATGAATCAGTAGGTGGTTTCTCTTGGCGCGGAGAGCTTGAGGATGATGAGAAATCAGAGGAAGCCATGGGGATGGACATTGAAAGCCGGGTCCAGTCTGGTTTGAGTTGCTTGGGCCACGAGGTGGGACCGCGCGTAGGCTCTTCCTTGGTCATCCACCCATCAGTGAAATGGTGAACAGGATGATGTTCATGGCCATTGAAATCATGACCAGAAGAATCTGATGATAGGATTCCAAAACCCAACTGGGAGGAGTCTTTGCAAGGGTAATTATTTTGCTGCTTTTGGAGGGAGGAGATTGTTGATTCTTGGGGCTTCAAATTGATGCTTGGATATATCATAGGGAAACTTTGTTGTATTCTGTCATACCAATTCAAGCTCTTGTTATTATGACAATAAAAACATGGCTAGCTTAAACATTATTTATTGTTATGTATGATGCATGTAATTGGCGTGCAGCGTGCTCAAAAAATGAGTATTCATTGAGGACAAAGTATATTTTTCCCCTGAAATAAATCTTATAATCCTATTTTTAGAATAAAACTTTCCAAAATAGGAATGAATGTGATTTATTCTGGGAAGAAATCAATGACTCATTGACACTCCTCGAGGAACTAGGCTAGCTATGTTTTACTCCTATTTAGGGAGTTTTTTCCTTTTTAAAATTCTTCATATTCAATCAAAACTTAAAATACTTGATTTTTATTTTCATAAAACTACTCCAACATATAAAGAAATAAAAATTGAGCAAAACTAAACTTATAGGTTTTTAATGGAGAAAAATACCACAATTAATATTTTCAAGTAAATGACCAAAATATGACAAAAAATATTTCAACCCCTAAACCTATCCCCGCCTTTTTTCTCTTCCACGTACACCAACTACCATCGTGGCCGACCGCCGGAAATTTCTAGAACAGGGAAAATCCGGCATGCCATGTGGGCATGGTACGCTATAAGTAAGAGATAATGACCATTATATGATATTGTGATCAAAATTTAAGTAATTGATAAAAATGTGACTTTTTATACTATAATAACCATGACAATAACATTAGTGACCACTATTGTATTTGAGTCTACAATGCAGTAGCCATAACGACGGTATATTCAGAATATCTAGTCACATTTTTGTCCATATGTTTTATATTTGTAGTATATTTACGGAATTTACTATGAAAATAGCAATATGGTCATTATAATGAAATAGAATATCACTATTGTCACCATGTTTACTAAGAAAGTTGAATCATGTATGGTCACTACTGAGACATATTGAAAGCCCTATCATTACATATGAAGAAAACACAAGACATTTAATAAAAAAAGAGTATCATGGACCAAAAAGAAGCATGACTACCTGTTATTCCTGTTATTCATGAGATGGTCACTGGATGGGTTTGGAGAACCTGAGTGGGTGTTATAATTGAAGTGGGGGTGCTTCATGGCACCAAAGCTCTCCGTTGTGCCGCCATCATGTGATGATATCACCGAAGCGCTAGTAACTGGTGGCAACACCTTAGGAGAGGTGGCGGTGGTAGTGGTGGTGGAACCAGGAACAGCAGCACGGCCGGTCTGGCCTTCCACAGGCTTTCTTGAACGATGGCGGCCTCTGTTGATGTGCCTCTCACAGTACTTCTGATCAGCAACTGCATCTCTCGAGCATCGCCATTTTTTCCCGTCAGTCCGACGGCACCTCCCTGGCTCTGGATCACTGTTTACGCCGTAGCCAACCGCCCATCCCCCTACCGCCAACAATAGAACTAGCCAATCAATCCTTGACTAGAGAAAACACATACATACAGACCATATTCTTGAAATTAAAATGAAACAAAAGAATCATAATAGTGTTTTCTAAAGAGACTTGAACAATCTTCCAAAAAAAGAGACTTGAACAATTTGGGCTCCACTTAAACTACATGAAACCCCAATAATTGCATCAATGCTGCTGTTAAGACATGGGCTACTCCTCCTATCATGTTGACCTTTTTTTCTGATAGGAGGAGTAGCTCATGTCTTAATATAGCACTTCGATGACTCAAACATTTCCGGTGTGGGACTTAACAGTTGCACACTGTTTTTTCTTGATGGATGTTTGTTGATAGAAATAGTGAGACATAGCAATCATATTTATTTGGGAAAAAATATTCAAATAACTCAAATATGAGGATGTATCATGTATGAAATAAATATCCCAACTTTTTATTACAGGTGATATTTACACATTTATTCACAAATGTAAGTTAGGGTGTCATGTGGTCATTCGGAAATGTTTGAAGTATTTAAATTCTGAAATGTAGAATTAAACCTTGCTGACATCACACCGTTTGGTGGTAAGCGATTCAAATTGTTCTTTCAGGGTTGTCAATGTTAGTTAGTTACAGATAATTGTTGTCCGTGTTGGTCTCTTTGAGATTGTTGTAACCATCCCAATCTAATGATATTAATATAAGCTGTTTTTCCTTACAAAAAACTCCGCTGACATCACATTCAATATAATCTTTGAGATATCTATTAAATTCACACAATAATGTTTGGGATGGTGACTTTATACATGCTTATTGTTTGAGGCATTTGAATCAATTATTTTTTTGTTTATATATGTAGACAGAGGAGAAATGGATGATTTAATTAAAAAACAATTTATTCTTTTTTATCATAAAAAACAATTTATTCTTGAATCCTTTTTTTAAAGGGTTGATTTAATCATAACTTGAGGATATGTTCATTATTTGTTGGGTGAGATTACTCAAATACAAACCATTCTCTGCAACAAATAAATTTCCAACATTCTCTACCTAAATGTAATTTTTCCAACGAAAACGCAATATAAATGAGTGGACTTTTCTCAGAAATAATAGATTCCTATGATAAAATACAAACTTGGGTCATGAGCTACAAGTAGGTGACTGACCATTAATAATACGTTACGAGGCTAACCCATTATAATTTCCTATGTATGTTAGGTATACATCATCGTTATTATCAGATTGATTTATCCAATCTGTGTCGGAGCCACTAAAATTTAGTGTCACTTTAAATTTGTAAAATTACTAGTCAAACCTATAACTTCATTTAATAGAAATAGACAAGTCGCAAAGATTTCTACGTTGGTTGGAATAACGAAATAATAATAAGACGAAACTCCAATATCACTATCAACAAAAGCTTTTTCCGACTAAGCTTTCTACGTTACAGCAAGATGGTCTCTTCGTCCAAGCAACATTACCAAGTTCATCAATTGTCCAGTGTAACATTACCAAGTATGAGCAATACTCTCTTCGTCCCTAAATTAAGTGTGTTCACACTTGAACTTTACTTTCACGATCTCCAACACCCACGTTTGACCATTGATGTATAAATATACACTTATAAAAATTATACTCCCTCCATGGTGAAAACAACTTCACACTTCGTTTTCATACATATTAAGGAAATAAATTTACAGGAAAGTAAATTTTACTGTTTGGACATTGTTTGGCACTGTTAGCATGTAGAAAATTTGTCGACTAAAGAAGTGGGAAGAAGTGTGAAGTTAATTTCAGGACTGCCCGAAAAGGAAAGTGAGGAGTTGTTTCTGGGGAGGGAGCAAGAGACTAACATCTTAATAATAGTACATATTAAAATGATGTATTCAAAATTATTTTGGTATCATAAAACAATAAGGTTTTTTAGGTCAAATCAAAGTTAACCATGTTTGATTCTAAAAGTCAATCCATGAACTTAACTGGGACAAACTGACTAAGAAAAGCAGTGGAAATACATAGTTTGGGAAGATAACTTACAGTGGGGGGCATAAGAACCAGAAGATAAGCCAGAAAAAGAAAAGGGATTGAGAGCTTTAGTGAGGGGAATGAGGAGACTAGTAGGAATAGGGACATTAGCAACTAAGTGCTTATAGATCAAGGCCTGATGTTCCAACTCCATCCATTGAGGTGGAGTGAATGGACCACTTGGTCGAGCATACCCTCCACGTGAGCTTTCATTCCATCCTCTCACTCCATATGCTTCAAGAGTCAAACAAAAGCATCAATCATCACAAAGATCGATTTATATGTAAAAAGGTGATTAGAAGCTCATAAACACGTGATTAACTAAGGTTTAATAAAGAAATAAATAAAGATCTACCAAACAGGTCCTTTTCTTCTTTATTTTGTCTCCATACGGCAATTACAAAAGATCTAAACAGTTGTTTCACCATCATTAAATGCCAAATAACACACTGTTCTGTACGCAGTTTTAATGAATTTTTCATTATTATTGCCTAACATTCAATCCGGGAGTGAGTGAGTGAGTAAATTAACAAGAATACCCAAAGATGATTCAACTCGTTTGTTCATACCGGAAGCTCCGCCGGGATGGGGGCCGACCCGTTTCTGCTCGGACTGGAAAAACGGGTAACAGAAGCTTTTAGAAGGGGAAGATTCTTGACCCGAGCCAGAAAGAAATGGGATTTCTTCCGAGGAGGAGAAGCTGAGCATGGTGGGTGGTTTCCCGGCAGCAGATCTCGACAAAAAGGTGGGAACTTTACAAGGCCTCCGGTCATTTTCTTCTTCTAGCGACGGCCCGGATCTTTCTTGCTTGATGAGAAGCCCAGATCCATGGCCCTTCACGGCGTCGCCGGGCGGTGGGTCGCCGGAACCGGGCTTATTGCTAGAAAGAAGAGAATAGTACGAAGGTTGCTGTCCGATGGCCGCCGCCGTCCCGTTGTCCACCGCCATCAACCCAAAATCCATTCTTTAATGATCAAGAATCCACAAAGCGTGAGCTCATTTCCAGAGAGCGATAGTAAAAGGTGACAATGGGAGGAGGAATGCATACAAATTTTATTTTGAGAGAAACGACAAAGAAACTACAGTGTCAAAGTGCAACGGGGACTATCGATCTCAACCATCTCTCTCGGACAGAGGGACATGTTAGACCGAGCTTATCTAGTCTTGTTTCCCGAAAAGAATATAAGATTTGTTTAAGGATGGTGATAAGCTTTTGCTAACTAGCGTCTATATATTGCTCGTCTCCTAAGAAGCATACCGTAATTTATTTTATTTGTGCTAACGGGTAGGGAGTATGACCATTTATGACTCCGTATTACGAGCACTCCTTTTGGTGGACACCACTAATATCTGGAAATATTCCATTGTTAATATGCAAGTACTCCCTCCGGTCCTTAAAGAAGTTTACACTTTGACTTCACACATATTAAGGAAATAAATTTGATTTTACTGTAGAGTACACTGTTTGGCACTGTTTGACACTGTTTAGTGTAGATTTGTTTGTCAAATAAGGCAAATAAGAAAATGTAAAGTTTAATATAAGACGACCCAAAAAGGAAAGTATAAAATTAGTTAAGGACCAGAGGGAGTATTTATCCATTGTCTTCGTTGAATTATTATCATGAATTTTTTACACACATCCAATAAAAACTTATATTTCTACACATAATTCAATCACTATAGTTTCTTATCATGATCTTTCTGATCAATTGTTTGATCAATATATATATACATAAATACTCCCTCCGTTCTCTAATAGATAGAAGTATAGCCTTTGGCACAACATTTAAGAAGGAATTTATAGGGGTAGGATAAAAGGTGTAGTGGGTTGTGTGTAAAGGTAAGAGTAGGAAAGAGAATGGGGGTAAATGAGTATATTTATTGAAAAAATTTACCAAAAGTGGAAAGGGAGACAACTAATAGAGAACATCCCAAAATGAGAAGAAGGCCAAGTATTAGAGAACGGAGGGAGTATTTATCATAGACTTAAATATTTATCATAGACTAATATTCTCTTTAGAACATGGTCGTTTAATAAATTTGGAGACTTTGATTTCAAATATACAAAAAAAACATGATTTCAAATATACAAAAATAGACTTTGATTTCAAATATACAAAAAAAACATGATTTAAAAACTACATATAATCATAATGTTATCACTTTAATAAAGTTGTCATTCTGGTCTTTAAAGCATAATCATCGATCAAATCATTGTACTTAATCTTCTCCAAATAGTTACTTTCAATTGTTATTATTTTCAAATCGTTCAGTCTCTCTTATGGGCATTATAGGCCACAAACAAGATTTCAACAATTTAAGCTTGAAGAGATCAATAGGTGTCATCTTTTTCTCAAACAAGAATCCTCCAAAAAGATTCAATTTAATATACAAATCAACTCCATCAATATGAGAGGGTTCATCTTTCTTAAGAGCACCTTCGAGATGAGAACAACATGCCTTCAATTGTACATCTTTTAATGAATTCAATTTCTCAAAAGTAAATAAAAAGTCAAAATATTCTCAATTTCGTGATATTGTTCAAACCTCCTTCTCAACGAAACAATAACTTAATCAACAATATACAAAAAATAATTAAGTCTAAATGATTCATCAGCAAATGGATTAACAGCTTTTCTAATGTGCTATTTCGACGCTCATCAATTTGTTTCTTTGTTCAGATTGGTCACCTTTGAGGAAAAAATGGATCAATATCAAGCTCAGCGATTTCTTCCATATCAAATTGTAAACTCTCACTCACCAAATTGACACGATATGTGTGTGATTTCATACCAAATAATTATTGCCACTAAAAATTCAAAATGACTTGATTCATGTAACACAAATGTCTTAGTTTTATTACCTATTTACGAATCACTATCTTTTTCAGATATCTCAAGTAAAGTTTCAAGGATAACTCCGTTTTGAAACCTTATACCTTTCACTCTTCCAACGCGACTCTCCAACTGAGTGGCCGATAGTGATAAGAAAAATCACCTAAAACAACTCATTTGATAGGTGTTTGACAATTTTTATATACTTTCAGGCTTTTCAACCAACTTTTTATGCTCCAAACGCCCCCTTAAACTACAATCCATTATTATTAATATTAAAAAGTAATCACATTATACATAATATACTCCGTACTACATAGCCAAATATCCAAATAAACTTAAATACGATTAATGGTTTTTAATATTATTAAAATTAATATTAAAAATAATACACTTAAAAATAATGAAAGTTTTCCCTAAATTTGATAATAAATAAAAATATACGTGGTTTATGTTTTATGTTTTAGAAAAATATTGACCGGGTTTTTGACCATTTACCAGACTGACCATCTGGGTCCCTTTTCGGGGTCGCTAATTGTTTTGATAACATACCCTTAAACCTAAATCTTAAAAGCTAGTGAATCCATTCAAACATACATAGTTAGGGAGTGTTTGCGATTACTTATATTTCAAAAAAAGTGATTTTTTAAAGTGATTTTGGAAAAATTGTTTAATAGTAAAAGTTGGTGGCGTTTGAGAAAAAAGTGACTTTGAAAAAGTAAAAGTTGGTAGTGTTTGATAAAATAAGTGTTTTTTGAGTAATAGAAAATTTGAAAAGCAGTTTAAAACACCCCTCAACCTGCTTACAGCTTTTAGCTTTTAAGTGATTAATTTAAACAAAAACTATCACTTGAAAACGCAAATTTTAGCTTTTTTTAGAGCAAAAAGCTGAAAACCATTTTTTTTTTAATTTTTCGCAAACTTTAATTAGAGAATGTCCATTGGGTTCAACTATTATATTTTTCTCACGGGTGAAATGCGGCTTCGGTATGGAGTATGCTTTTCATTATTTTTGTCCTAAATTTCTATGCAGAATTCAATTCTTCAACAGCACATAATAATACTTAAAAATAATATCCTAAACCACCTATATATAATTCAAATTTAATTATCTTACATCACAATGTATAGTCTTGTAAAAATAAAAGTAATTTTAAAAGAATAATAAAATTTATTACGCATATTTTTACATTCTCTTTTTAAATAATATACTCCGTAATAATGTTGTCACAATTCTTTTTTAGTAATACCACAAGAAAATTAATATCAAGTGATGATGTTTTTAATTAGATTGATTTTTTTTATCTGGTCTCAATTGATCAAATATAATGTTCGAACTTTGTGTATTTTATGACTAACAAGTCAAACAATCTTACAAAAGTTGCTAGAAAGTTCAATCTAATTAGAAAGTGTTTTAAAAGAAAAGTTGGTAGTGTTTTAAAACAAAAGTAATTATAGTGAAAGTTAAAGTTGAAGTTTTTGGTAAAAGGGTGATTTTTAATGGAATAATTTATAAAAGTACGCAAATACTCCTGGTTTACTGTTGAAAATTGTAAACGGGGCATATATTATGACTCTTCATTTGGATTAACAGCCTGTTTGGTGGTCCACTTCTTTGATTTATCACTTCTATCCGTCAATTTTCACCATATAAGTAATTTGTGATTTCACGTTTTGAATCGTGTAATAGTATAAATAAATTAGGTGATAATTATTTTTCTGAATGAATTGGTTGAAGTTATTGTACAAGACTATTTTAGCATTGTTTCATATAATTCTTACTTTAATAATATATTAATAAAACATATTTGAAATATAACTTTTCTTTATAATTCAACCAATTTAGTGCTATCAAAGGAGTTCTAATTGTTTTTATCTATCTGAGACTAAAGTGGGGATTGATGAATAAGGAGTGAGGAGATAGATGTTAAAAAATAAAATTAAAGTACTGATATTTCAATTTAAATTCAAGTAGCATGTGATTCGTTATTTGCATTTACAAGACTATTTCAATATATTCAGGCTAACCAAGTAACATATTGACAAATTCAAGTATTCCAGTATCTTCATCTGTGCCTCACATCTTACGCTTCTTACTTACATATCAAACGCAATTGATTAGAGGTGAAGTGAATTAAAACTTATTAAGTCTATGTAAGAAGAAGAAGATATGTTATTACTTTACTCAGAAAGAGATGCACTTCAAGAATGAGGATTGATGAATAAGAAGCGAGAACAGTGTGATCTCCTGGGCGACTGCTCTATTCTCGTCAGGTTTTATATGAAATCAGGACCATAGAGTTAGATGCGCGTATCCATCCACATATACGGATATCAGAAGTTTTTATATTTATGAAAAGAGTTTTTGCCATTTTTGGGCCCCCGACTATTATGTCAATGACACTTTTGGTGCTCGACTTCTAATTTTTCCATTTTTAGTCCTTGACTATTGTGATGGAGGCACTTTTGGTCTCCGACTTCAAAGTTTCCCACATTTAGTCTTTGAGTATTGTCAAATTGACACTTTTGGTCCTCCCATTATGATTTTGACACAATAAATGGAGGACTAAAAATGTCACTATTATAATAGTTGAAGGACCAAAAATGTCACGCCCCGTACCGCATCCGTGCCACGTAGACAACCGCCGTTCAACCCAATAAGAACAATAACAGTTCATCCATATTGAATTATACAAGGCGCCCGATAGATTCTATTGTCAAACCGATTAGTAAACACATACAATCAACATCAATATTTAATGAGCACTTCGTCATAGTGCGTCAAAATAATTTCCAATACTAACACTTATACGTAGTATAGCGTAGTAGAGTTCGTATCCACAGGGAAAGGAATACTTCTCTTTTTATAAAACTATGTAAATAGGGGGGGGTTGGATTGAATGATTTGACTTAATAAGAAACTAAGATGAACGACTTATATGAGATTTAATTCAAGAATAAATGGGACTTGGTCTTGCTACATTCCACTTGTTTATATATTTTAGTCGATCATTGTTATATCTACAACTTATCCCCTCTCGAATACTCAATCGAGGAGTATATCCAATTCATCGAGGGTAGTTATTAACAACGACCGTTTATTAATAACCCTTACTATTAATCAAATATAGAACAACGCCTTATACCGATTTAATAGTAGCATTTAATTTTTCTAACTCCTTGATGAAATCAATTGAGATTAATAACCTCAACATAACGGTTTTGGTTTAACCAACAAAATTGATCCCTCTCAAGTTTATTAACCACAACCGTGCATTAATAAACCGAAGTTACTACTTGAGAAACCATCAATGATTAACCATCGGTTCGTTGATCGTTTCTAGTAGTAATTAATGTCGGAACGTTAACTAATCGTCACTTAGCAACCCTCCAACATT